CCCCTGCCCCCAGGCCCCAGCAGAGGGGGTGGGGTGGGTGGGGGGGCCATGCAGCCTCTTGCATGCTGGAACCCTGCCAGCTGCAAGGGAAAAGCCACAGTTTCCATGTTTTTCTTCTTGAAAAAAGAATCCATTTTATAAGTTTGTTGATCCGTTTCTAAAGTTTGTTAATGACTCTTTCATATATGCTTGTGACCCACTTCTGGGTCGGAACCCAGAGGTTGAGAAATGCTGATCTAGTCCAACCTCCTACTCAAAGCAGGCCAATCCCAAACTAAATCTTCCCATTTGTCTAGCTGAGTCTTAAAAACCTCCAAGGACAGAAAGTCTACAACCTCTCTTTGTAACCTGTCCCCTAGTGAGAAAGATAGAATCACTGAATTATGTTGGAGACCATTCAGAGGGGGAAAACGTTGTTATTACCTGTGGAGTGCAATGAGATTGGCAGAGAGAGCAGGTAGATCGTAATGAGCCACAAAGCCAGTATGTATTTTTAGTCCATGGCTTTCAGTGCCTAGGATGGTTATGAATTTGTATTCCTAATCCCAGTTTCTGAAGGTTTTTTGTAGCTTTCCCTTCAGTACAATGAATGTGGGATCAGAAAGGGAGCTGTTGCTCTGGCATTATTAATATTTTAATGTAACAAAACATATCTCATACTTCCAGCAATTTTTTCAGCTTCTGCAAATCAGATTAGTGTAAAGGTTTTAGGACCCAATTTGGTTTCCTTTAAAAGTATTGAAGTAAATAGCTACCAACTTTGCTACCAAAATCTACATCGACTGGGGACCTAGACTGTTATGTTAGCTTGTATTTCTAAACCAGGAATACTGATGAAGAAACAACAAATATATTCAGTAAATGTTCTGTCTCTCTAAAGAATTGAGCGGACCAGAAAAGAAGGTATTTATATATTTAATCAGTATATTTCATATTTGAGAGCAAATATTGTAGTTACAAGCTATGAAGTTATTTTTAAAATATGTTTGTAAATTTAATTTGTGGTTCTGATTGCTAAAATCAGAGGCAAAATTGGAAGTTCTGATTCTTGTTTAAATGCAAGGTTCTACGTTAACTTCCCAACTTACAGCAGAATTTATGGAAATTCAGTATAAAATAGTTCAGAAGTTTGAATCCCTGAATCCAAACTAGTATTCATTCAGGGGCAGTAAACTCCTGCAGAAAGACGCTCTGGGCATCTTGACAAAAAATTCAGTGAAATCACAAATACACAGGGCTGGAAATCTGTCACCAGTGTATTTACTCACATAGTACCAATAGTAATACCGTGGCATTATTTTAAACACAGTGCTGAACACCCTAGCACTGCAGAGATGGATTTTAGACGCACCCCTCTGGTTCTTCATTAGCTCTCACAGGATTACATCATGTACTGAAGTACAGCCTCCAGTACATGGCATGCATGTGTACTTGAATTGTCAATAGTAATGGGAATGCATTTCCCATTTGTAAAATATCATAAGTAGGGCCTGGTTTAAATCATGGGCACCACTTGCAGCACAAGGGCCCCTGATTGGCAGAGGGGCCTGTCAGCCCTGCTGCACACTGCTTGCTTCTGATGGCTGGGAGGCAAAAACCGTTTTAAATATGCTACAGTTCCTGTGTCCCACTGCTTGCCGCTGACTGGACTGGACGCAAAAACTGCGACGTATTTAAAATTGTGATTTATTTGCCTCCCAGCCATCAGGAACAAGTGGTGGGTCTGATGGGCACAGTGGGAACTCCAAAATTAAAGGAGCCACCGCACTGCAAGCTGGGCTTGCAATTTAAGTCAGGCCTTAATTAAAAGTTAGGGTAGCATGATTGTAGGAAAGTCTTTCCCTCAGCATTTTGGTACATGGGCCAGGGTGTTTTGCACTGCTGTAAAGGCACCATTCTTCCTTGGGTAAGGCAGGAAGGGTATGGACATTGTACTCCTTTTGCCCAGGGGGGCAGTACTGATTACATTTGTTTAACAGGCTTGCACTGGTATATCTAGAATGTAACTAGTAAGGTACCTCCACATACCCCTGCTCAGGTAGTATATTTTTCATAGAATCATAGAAGTAGGGTCAGAAGGGACCTT